GCAGTGACATCAATAACCGTCTCAAGAGATTCGCAGTGACATCAATAACCGTCTCAAGAGATTCGCAGTGACATCAATAACCGTCTCAAGAGATTCGCAGTGACATCAATAACCGTCTCAAGAGATTCGCAGTGACATCAATAACCGTCTCAAGAGATTCGCAGTGACATCAATAACCGTCTCAAGAGATTCGCAGTGACATCAATAACCGTCTCAAGAGATTCGCAGTGACATCAATAACCGTCTCAAGAGATTCGCAGTGACATCAATAACCGTCTCAAGAGATTCGCAGTGACATCAATAACCGTCTCAAGAGATTCGCAGTGACATCAATAACCGTCTCAAGAGATTCGCAGTGACATCAATAACCGTCTCAAGAGATTCGCAGTGACATCAATAACCGTCTCAAGAGATTCGCAGTGACATCAATAACCGTCTCAAGAGATTCGCAGTGACATCAATAACCGTCTCAAGAGATTCGCAGTGACATCAATAACCGTCTCAAGAGATTCGCAGTGACATCAATAACCGTCTCAAGAGATTCGCAGTGACATCAATAACCGTCTCAAGAGATTCGCAGTGACATCAATAACCGTCTCAAGAGATTCGCAGTGACATCAATAACCGTCTCAAGAGATTCGCAGTGACATCAATAACCGTCTCAAGAGATTCGCAGTGACATCAATAACCGTCTCAAGAGATTCGCAGTGACATCAATAACCGTCTCAAGAGATTCGCAGTGACATCAATAACCGTCTCAAGAGATTCGCAGTGACATCAATAACCGTCTCAAGAGATTCGCAGTGACATCAATAACCGTCTCAAGAGATTCGCAGTGACATCAATAACCGTCTCAAGAGATTCGCAGTGACATCAATAACCGTCTCAAGAGATTCGCAGTGACATCAATAACCGTCTCAAGAGATTCGCAGTGACATCAATAACCGTCTCAAGAGATTCGCAGTGACATCAATAACCGTCTCAAGAGATTCGCAGTGACATCAATAACCGTCTCAAGAGATTCGCAGTGACATCAATAACCGTCTCAAGAGATTCGCAGTGACATCAGTAACCGTCTCAAGAGATTCGCAGTGACATCAATAACCGTCTCAAGAGATTCGCAGTGACATCAATAACCGTCTCAAGAGATTCGCAGTGACATCAATAACCGTCTCAAGAGATTCGCAGTGACATCAATAACCGTCTCAAGAGATTCGCAGTGACATCAATAACCGTCTCAAGAGATTCGCAGTGACATCAATAACCGTCTCAAGAGATTCGCAGTGACATCAATAACCGTCTCAAGAGATTCGCAGTGACATCAATAACCGTCTCAAGAGATTCGCAGTGACATCAATAACCGTCTCAAGAGATTCGCAGTGACATCAATAACCGTCTCAAGAGATTCGCAGTGACATCAATAACCGTCTCAAGAGATTCGCAGTGACATCAATAACCGTCTCAAGAGATTCGCAGTGACATCAATAACCGTCTCAAGAGATTCGCAGTGACATCAATAACCGTCTCAAGAGATTCGCAGTGACATCAATAACCGTCTCAAGAGATTCGCAGTGACATCAATAACCGTCTCAAGAGATTCGCAGTGACATCAATAACCGTCTCAAGAGATTCGCAGTGACATCAATAACCGTCTCAAGAGATTCGCAGTGACATCAATAACCGTCTCAAGAGATTCGCAGTGACATCAATAACCGTCTCAAGAGATTCGCAGTGACATCAATAACCGTCTCAAGAGATTCGCAGTGACATCAATAACCGTCTCAAGAGATTCGCAGTGACATCAATAACCGTCTCAAGAGATTCGCAGTGACATCAATAACCGTCTCAAGAGATTCGCAGTGACATCAATAACCGTCTCAAGAGATTCGCAGTGACATCAATAACCGTCTCAAGAGATTCGCAGTGACATCAATAACCGTCTCAAGAGATTCGCAGTGACATCAAGTAACCGTCTCAAGAGATTCGCAGTGACATCAATAACCGTCTCAAGAGATTCGCAGTGACATCAATAACCGTCTCAAGAGATTCGCAGTGACATCAATAACCGTCTCAAGAGATTCGCAGTGACATCAATAACCGTCTCAAGAGATTCGCAGTGACATCAATAACCGTCTCAAGAGATTCGCAGTGACATCAATAACCGTCTCAAGAGATTCGCAGTGACATCAATAACCGTCTCAAGAGATTCGCAGTGACATCAATAACCGTCTCAAGAGATTCGCAGTGACATCAAGTAACCGTCTCAAGAGATTCGCAGTGACATCAATAACCGTCTCAAGAGATTCGCAGTGACATCAATAACCGTCTCAAGAGATTCGCAGTGACATCAATAACCGTCTCAAGAGATTCGCAGTGACATCAATAACCGTCTCAAGAGATTCGCAGTGACATCAATAACCGTCTCAAGAGATTCGCAGTGACATCAATAACCGTCTCAAGAGATTCGCAGTGACATCAATAACCGTCTCAAGAGATTCGCAGTGACATCAATAACCGTCTCAAGAGATTCGCAGTGACATCAATAACCGTCTCAAGAGATTCGCAGTGACATCAATAACCGTCTCAAGAGATTCGCAGTGACATCAATAACCGTCTCAAGAGATTCGCAGTGACATCAATAACCGTCTCAAGAGATTCGCAGTGACATCAATAACCGTCTCAAGAGATTCGCAGTGACATCAATAACCGTCTCAAGAGATTCGCAGTGACATCAATAACCGTCTCAAGAGATTCGCAGTGACATCAATAACCGTCTCAAGAGATTCGCAGTGACATCAATAACCGTCTCAAGAGATTCGCAGTGACATCAATAACCGTCTCAAGAGATTCGCAGTGACATCAATAACCGTCTCAAGAGATTCGCAGTGACATCAATAACCGTCTCAAGAGATTCGCAGTGACATCAATAACCGTCTCAAGAGATTCGCAGTGACATCAATAACCGTCTCAAGAGATTCGCAGTGACATCAATAACCGTCTCAAGAGATTCGCAGTGACATCAATAACCGTCTCAAGAGATTCGCAGTGACATCAATAACCGTCTCAAGAGATTCGCAGTGACATCAATAACCGTCTCAAGAGATTCGCAGTGACATCAATAACCGTCTCAAGAGATTCGCAGTGACATCAATAACCGTCTCAAGAGATTCGCAGTGACATCAATAACCGTCTCAAGAGATTCGCAGTGACATCAATAACCGTCTCAAGAGATTCGCAGTGACATCAATAACCGTCTCAAGAGATTCGCAGTGACATCAATAACCGTCTCAAGAGATTCGCAGTGACATCAATAACCGTCTCAAGAGATTCGCAGTGACATCAATAACCGTCTCAAGAGATTCGCAGTGACATCAATAACCGTCTCAAGAGATTCGCAGTGACATCAATAACCGTCTCAAGAGATTCGCAGTGACATCAATAACCGTCTCAAGAGATTCGCAGTGACATCAATAACCGTCTCAAGAGATTCGCAATGACATCAATAACCGTCTCAAGAGATTCGCAGTGACATCAATAACCGTCTCAAGAGATTCGCAGTGACATCAATAACCGTCTCAAGAGATTCGCAGTGACATCAATAACCGTCTCAAGAGATTCGCAGTGACATCAATAACCGTCTCAAGAGATTCGCAGTGACATCAATAACCGTCTCAAGAGATTCGCAGTGACATCAATAACCGTCTCAAGAGATTCGCAGTGACATCAATAACCGTCTCAAGAGATTCGCAGTGACATCAATAACCGTCTCAAGAGATTCGCAGTGACATCAATAACCGTCTCAAGAGATTCGCAGTGACATCAATAACCGTCTCAAGAGATTCGCAGTGACATCAATAACCGTCTCAAGAGATTCGCAATGACATCAATAACCGTCTCAAGAGATTCGCAGTGACATCAATAACCGTCTCAAGAGATTCGCAGTGACATCAATAACCGTCTCAAGAGATTCGCAGTGACATCAATAACCGTCTCAAGAGATTCGCAGTGACATCAATAACCGTCTCAAGAGATTCGCAGTGACATCAATAACCGTCTCAAGAGATTCGCAGTGACATCAATAACCGTCTCAAGAGATTCGCAGTGACATCAATAACCGTCTCAAGAGATTCGCAGTGACATCAGTAACCGTCTCAAGAGATTCGCAGTGACATCAATAACCGTCTCAAGAGATTCGCAGTGACATCAATAACCGTCTCAAGAGATTCGCAGTGACATCAATAACCGTCTCAAGAGATTCGCAGTGACATCAATAACCGTCTCAAGAGATTCGCAGTGACATCAATAACCGTCTCAAGAGATTCGCAGTGACATCAATAACCGTCTCAAGAGATTCGCAGTGACATCAATAACCGTCTCAAGAGATTCGCAGTGACATCAATAACCGTCTCAAGAGATTCGCAGTGACATCAATAACCGTCTCAAGAGATTCGCAGTGACATCAATAACTGTCTCAAGAGATTCGCAGTGACATCAATAACCGTCTCAAGAGATTCGCAGTGACATCAATAACCGTCTCAAGAGATTCGCAGTGACATCAATAACCGTCTCAAGAGATTCGCAGTGACATCAATAACCGTCTCAAGAGATTCGCAGTGACATCAATAACCGTCTCAAGAGATTCGCATTGACATCAATAACCGTCTCAAGAGATTCGCAGTGACATCAATAACCTGTTGGAATCACTGAACAGGAATGAATGAACTAGCAATGAAAAGAGTACAAGTACCTAACCCTAGAATTGTGTACCCCCTATAGGCTAACCCACTGTAGCCTAAACTAACACAGCATATATAATGTTTGACACACCCCCATAGGCAAAGTGGGGGAGAACTAGGGGTCACAAGACCAGTCAAGGTAAAGCAAGGCAAAACAAGCTCAGGGTGGATCTCAAGGATACCACACAAATTCCGAGCACAAGCAAGTGGTCACAAGACCAGTTCACATGCAGGTTTATATATAGAGATCACAGTACAACAGACTCAAGAAGTAAGCAAGTGAGGTCCAGTAGGCACAAGGCCTAGAAGAGTGCAAAAGCGCTGATGGTCACAAGGCTGAAGCGCCTTGGTGAACACATCAGCAGTGTTGGCCTCAGAGGCCACGTAACGCAGGCGAAGCTGACCACGCTGCTGCAGCTCTCGAGCGAGGAAGTAACGCAGAGCAATGTGCTTCGTTCTGTGCTCCAGTCTGTGCTCCTCACACAAGGCAATGGCTGCCTTGTTGTCGACGTACAGCACTGGAGGAGAACGAGGCTGCTCTCCAAGGTCGGTCAGCAAGTAGGTGAGCCAGCGTAGCTCCTGGGCCGCCATGGCTGTGGCGTAGATCTCAGCCTCACAACTGGAGTTGAGAACAGAAGAAGAGCGAGTAGAACGCCAAGAAACAGAACCAGAGCCAAGACTGAAGGAGTAACCCTGAGACGACCGCTGAGTAGCCTGGTCGTCTGCCCAAGAAGCGTCTGAGTGCCCAGTGAGAACAACTGGGACTCGCCCTCCAAGCACTAGCCCCATGCCCGACGTACTGCACAAGTAGCGCAACACCCTCTTAGCTGCATCCATGTGCTCCTTCCGGTGACGGCCGGGAGCGACATAGCGTGCAAGAATGCTGAGAGGGTATGCAAGGTCTGGTCGAGTGCAGGTCATCAGGTACATGAGGCAACCCACAAGCTCTGGATACGGGCCACTCGGCTCTACGGACTCATCCGAAGGCAGAGCTGAGAGCGAGTGACCGGTAGGCAGAGGAGTGGGCTGAGGCGAGGAGTACGTGAAGCGGAAGCGCTGAAGGACCTGCTGCACCATGTGTGACTGAGTCAAGGTGATGGTGCGGCGTGCTCTGTCCCGGGTGATCCGCAAGCCAAGATAGCTTGTCAGTTCACCCAGGTCTGTGCACGTGTATCTCTTCTGCAGCTCCGACTTCACGTGGGCGAGTGCCACAGTGTCAGCAGTAGCAAAAACCAAGTCGTCGACGTACACAAGGACGTAGAACGGCGGCAGTGAGGTGTCGGTGCGTAGAAACAGCGACGGGTCAGCAGTAGAAGGCGCGAACCCAAGAGCCGCAAGCGTAGTCCTCAGTGTGTCGTGCCACTCACGAGGCGCCTGGCGGAGACCGTAGACTGGCCGTCGGAGGCTCCACTGGGTACCAGGAGGGAACGACCCAGTGAAGCCAGGTGGACGGCGCAGCCAGATCTCCTCGTGCAGGCTGCCCTGCAGGAAAGCAGTGCTGAAGTCAAGCGAGTGGAGCTCGTAGTCACGCTGAGCGGCGACGTGCAGCAGAACCCGAAGAGTGGTCATCTTCGGGGTCGGGGAGAAGGTCTGGAAGAAGTCAACTCCCTCGCGCTGACTGAAGCCTCGTGCAACGTAACGCGCCTTGAAGACAGGCGGAGAACCCGGCGGCCGCTTCACCCTGAAAATCCACATGCCACTGACGATGTTCGCCCCAGGCGGGGGAACCTCGTCGACGTAGGTGCCTGTGGACTTCCAGGAAGCCATCTCTGTGTCCATGGCTGACTGCCACTGAGAGGAGTAGGGACCGGCCATCGCCTCTGCGTAAGAGCGTGGGGTCGGGATGTCTGGTGCATCCGGGTCTCCCTCAGGGGCAACAAGCATGGACACGAGATGGGGCAAAGCGGCAGCAAAGCACTGGAACTCCTCCTGCCTGTCCTCAAGGACGTCAGTGCCAAGAGCACACTCACCCCCGACGGACGGAGGACAGACAGACTCAGACTCAGCAACTAGGCTAGCAGCGTAGTCTAGACGACAGCGAGCAGCAAAGTCGACAAGCTCAGCAACTAAGGCAGACGCAGCAGCAGACTCAAAGGAAGGGTCAGTGACAACAGTGGCCAGGAGACGCGTGACAGCAGGACTGGTAGCACGAAGAGAGTCTGACCCAGGGTCAGGAAGAGCAGGAAGAGAGGAAGCAGGAGGAGACGGCAGTGGGACACGCTGTGGAGCAGTGGACGGACGAAGCGCCATCCGGTGAGTGCCTGGGACAGCAGGAAGACGCTGACGCTGGACTCGATGACTAGAGAGAGCAGTGCGGACAGGCGACCCAGGACGAGACTCAGGCGACGCAGGACGAGACGCAGGCTCACGCCGCTCAGTAAGACCTCCAGTCGGACCAGTGTAAGGAGCAGGACCAAGGAGAGAGGAGGCAGACGGTAACGCCGACTGCAGCTGGACAGGCTGAGGACACTCTAAGGAGGGAGGAGGAAAAGGAGGAGGAAGCTGACCAAGAACCTGCTGAAGGAGCGGAACAAAGTACGGCTGAGACCGAGCAGCGACACCAGAGCCAGCAGGGACACCCGCACCAGGGTCGGCAGCACCACCAGCAGCTCCAGCGTCCACGTCCTCAGCACCAGCGGTAGCTCCAACGCCCGGGTCCTCAGCACCAGCAGTAGCTCCAACGCCTGGGTCCTCAGCACCAGCAGCAGCTCCAGCGCCCGGGTCCTCAGCACCAGCAGCGGCTCCAACGCCCGGGTCCTCAGCACCAGCAGCAGCTCCAACGCCCGGGTCCTCAGCACCAGCAGCAGCTCCAACGCCCGGGTCCTCAGCACCAGCAGCAGCTCCAACAGCAGCGGGGTTCGTAACACGAGGCACGCCACTCCGAAGAGTGCAGCGCCGCTCGTACCACTCACGGATCCGCTCGCGGGAGGGGAGCTCCCGAACGGGAGAAGAAGTACTAGCACCAGTCCCAGTAGGACGTCCGGCTCGAGCGGTACCTCTCCGGAGGCTGCAGTACTCTAAGTACCACGCACGTAGCTGCTCCGAGGAGAGGGCTCCTCCAGGTGCAGGACTCCCAGACCTCGTACCTCCAGACGCAGAACCCCCAGACTCCGGACTCCGCAGCTCAGTACCACGAGGCTCCACCCCCCCAAGCTCAGCACCCTCAAGCTCCACACCCCCAGGCTCCACACCCCCAGGCTCCACACCCCCAGGCTCCACACCCCCAGGCTCAGCACCCCCAGGCTCAGCACCCCCAGCAGGACGAGAGTCGACAGCTACCTCAACAGGCTCAACCGGGTCTACCTGAGACACACCTGAGGGAGCGGCACCCTGAGGGGGGAGGGGGTCTGCAACAGCAGCACCTGGCGAGAGGAAGAGAGGCGGGGGGGGGAGCGGGGCAGTGCGGTAGGGGAAGAGGCGGTAGTAGGGGACGGACTCGTCAAAAGTGACGTCCTGGGAGGGCAAGACTCGGCGCGAGGTGGCGTGGTAAAACTGCCAACCAGACGCGTCCGGGACAAAGCCGAGGAAGACGCAGGGAACAGCACGGGAGGAGAGCTTGTCCGCAGACGAATCGCGGACAAAAGCTCGAGACCCCCAGACCCGGAAACGCGACGCATCGCCAACCTCCCCCGTCCACAGTAGCGTGGGCGAGGTCTCCGGCAAGGAGACACGGGGCCAGAGGTTGAGTTGATGCGCAGCGTACCGGACCGCAAACGGCCACAGAAAGTGGGGGGCAGCCGCATGGATCAAGGAGGTACGGGCGACCTCCATGACCAGGCCAATGCGGCGCTCCGCAACCCCATTCTGCTGTGGAGAAGCCGGAAGCGTGAACGACTGCTCAATGCCGTGCTCAGCACAGTAGGCTGCCAAGAGGTCGGAGGAGAACTCACCACCTCTGTCAGAGTGCAAGCGCAGGACAGGAAAGTCCGAGTGAAAACGCTCGCTGAGCTGGAGACGGGCTCGGCGGATCCAAGGGATCAAGACATCAGGGACCTCACCCTTGGTGCGCAAGGGGAAGACCGAGGTGTAGCGCGAGTAGTCGTCAACAACTATCAGGAAGTACCTCTCCTGACCCTGACCACGGACGCGGGCTGGGCCCCACACGTCCATGTGGAGTGTCTGCAAGGGAGCAGTCGTCGGGGGGAACGAGGAGGAGTGAGGAGCGGCGCGCTGCCGTCCCTCGACACAGGGGAGACAGGTAGGAGCAGGCGAGGGTGGGAGGGGAGGAAGGACCCTGGGCAGGCCAGAGACAAGGTACCTGGAGTGCATGGCACGAAGCCGCTGCACAGACGGGTGGCCAAGGCGGTGGTGCCAGAGGACAGTCTCGTGTGCCAAAGAGCGACACGAGCAGGGGGCGGACAGCTGACCTGACGCGGACGCGGACGCAGTCGCAGCAACCTGAGGGGACTCAGTAGTCAGTGTGTACAGGTCCGACCCCGGCTGCCGAGTGAAGGTAGCCAAGTGACGGCCCGTACGAGCACACGTGCAGTGTGTCACGCGCTCGTAGGCAGGGGTGAACTGGTGAACACCCCCGTCCTGGAGTGCACAGCCTGCCACCAAGTTCGTAGAGAACGAGGGGAGGTGGAGACCTGACAGTGTGCCCGACGGGACCGCAGGGCAGGGAAGGACAGTGGAAGAGGTCGCAATGACCGGACCCCCAGAGGGGTCAGCAAGGGAGACAGCAACTGGCCGAGTAAGTGGCTCAAGGGCAGTGCGGTCACGAAAGAAGCAGCGAGAAGCACCTGAGTCCAGTGTGAAGGTGTGCAGTGCGGCAGTCGACGCAGTACCAAGGGGGGGAGACACACGAGCACCTAGAGCAGCAGCCTCACCAGCACCTGGGGTAGCCGACACGTGAGTACCTGGAGCGGCAGACGCACTGGCCCTAATGCCCGGGTCGGGCGGCACACACAAGTACTCAGCACCCTCTCCACTAGTAGACATCACATACATGGCAGATAGAATAGCATCAAAGTCTAGAGCATAGATATCAATCCCCTTCTTCAGGAGATCAAGCCAGCGGGGCAGCTCAGTGGCCTGAGGGAACTGAACACGCCAAGCGTCGTCGAGACGAGAGAAGCAGCGCTGTGTGGCGTGCGGTCGTCCACACTGCTGACCAGTGCGGTCACCAGTGCGAATGACGTACGTGCAGCTAAGACCACCCCCACCCCCGTGCTGAGAGTACCACTCACGGACCTCCTGGGGCGAGAGGGTGTGCTGCTGGCCCTGGCCACCGCCAGCGCCTCCACGGCCACCACCACCGCTGCCACCTCCTCGACCACCCCAACCCCTGCCGCCGCCTCGTCCACCGCCACCCCAACTGCCGCCTCCACTCCTGCCACCTCCCCCGCCGCTGCCGCCACCACCCCCACCGCTACCACTCGCCCCTCCAGCCGAGCCACCACCCCCACTGCCTCCACCGCCCCCACCGCCGCCTCCCCCGCCGTCACCGCCACTACCCTTGCCCCCTTTGCCCTTGCCGCTGCGGCGTCCGCTCGAGGCAGACGCAGTACCGACCTTCTCAGTACCAAGAAGGTCGACAGCAGCAGCAGAGGCGACAGAGGGAAGAAGGGGGGAAGGAGAACACCCCTCAAAGAACGGGGTACGGGGGTCGCCACGAGAGGCACCTACACCGACTATGCTAGCCTCAGCTGCAAGTAGCTCCTTCTCGAGGAGGGCAATGGTGAGCTCAGTGGGGCAACGAGCTAGGAAGTGGTCCCTGACAGCACGCAGTGTGTCAGGGAGGCGGGTGACTAGGTGATAGAGAGTGAGCCAGAGTGGAGGGGGGTGCGTGGCAAGGAACTCAGCAGGCATGGCGGCACGGAAGCGGGCCTCACTAGTACGGAGGTGCGTGATGAGGTCAGCGACTGTGTGAAAGGAGGCCAGGTCGGGAAACAGGTAGGGGAGGGAGAGACGGCCTAGTGCGGCAGAGGCAGGTGAGGAGTAGCGAGCAACTACAGCTGTGTACAGTGCCGGTGCAGTCTTGTGGTGACCAAAGTGCTCGCGTTCGTCTATCGGCAGGGAGTTGCGAATGGCGAAGCGAGCGTGGGCATCACGAGTCTGCCACTGTGAGCGAGCAGTGCTGTCAGCAGTAGCAGCAGGGGCAGTGACAAGGCCTAGGGCGTGATCGTACAGTGAGATGTCATCCTTGGCTGTGAGCTGTAGGTAGAGGTGCAGGTCATCGAGCCAGGTGTCAAACTTCACAGGGCGGCCCTCAGCATCGAACACGAGAACCTGTGGGCTAGCCATAGGAACAGTAGAAATAGCAGCAGTAGCGGTAGGAGAAGCAGGTAGGACGAACCAGGTAGGGTAGGGCGGCGCGGCTCGGTTCAGGTCGGGTCGCGGCTCGGCTGGGTGGCGCGGCTCGGCTCGGGGCGCGCGGCTCGGCTCAGGTCATGGCGGGGACGGGCCGCCCGCTCTCCCTCTTGTGCTGCGGCGGGAACGGGCCGCCCGGGGCCTCTGGGTGGTGGGCACGGGTCGGCGAGGTAGGCACGGGGCCGGTTGGGGCCCTAGAGGGGCGAGCGCGGGGCCGATCGGAGCCTGAGCGGGGCTAGCGCGGGGCCAAACGGGGCCTTGACGGGGTTAGCAAGGGGCCGACGGGGCCTGAACGGGGCTAGCGCGGGGCCGACGGGGCCTGAAACGGGGCCGAAGGGGCCTGAAACGGGGCTAGCGCGGGCCTGATCGGGGCCTGAATGGGGCTAGCGCGGGGCCGACGGGGCCTGAGAGGGGCTAGCGCGGGGCCTACGGGGCCTGAAACGGGGCTAGCGCGAGCCGACGGGGCCTGAAACGGGGCTAGCGCGGGCCGACGGGGCCTGAGAGGGGCTAGCGCGGGCCGACGGGGCCTGAAACGGGGCTAGCGCGGGCCGACGGGGCCTGAAACGGGGCTAGCGCGGGCCGACGGGGCCTGAAACGGGGCTAGCGCGGGGCCGACGGGGCCTGAAACGGGGCCGACGGGGCCTGAAACGGGGCTAGCGCGAGCCGACGGGGCCTGAACGGGGCTAGCGCGGGGCCGACGGGGCCTGAAAAGGGGGCCGACGGGGCCTGAAACGGGGCTAGCGCGGGTCGACGGGGCCTGAGAGGGGCTAGCGTGGGGCCGACGGGGCCTGAAACGGGGCCGACGGGGCCTAAACGGGGCTAGCGCGGGGCCTGAACGGGGCCTTAAAGGGGCCGACGGGGCCTGACGGGGCTAGCGCGGGGCCGTCAAGAGGGGCCTCTAGGGGCGTGACACGCCGAGGCGCCCTAGGGCACGGGTAGGTAGGTAGGTAGGTAGTGACGTAGTGGTGGGGCCCTTAGAAAATTTCGGTCCTAGGAAGGACCTGCTCTATACCATGTTGGAATCACTGAACAGGAATGAATGAACTAGCAATGAAAAGAGTACAAGTACCTAACCCTAGAATTGTGTACCCCCTATAGGCTAACCCACTGTAGCCTAAACTAACACAACATATATAATGTTTGACATAACCGTCTCAAGAGATTCGCAGTGACATCATAGTAACCGTCTCAAGAGATTCGCAGTGACATCAGTAACCGTCTCAAGAGATTTCGCAGTGACATCAATAACCGTCTCAAGAGATTCGCAGTGACATCAATAACCGTCTCAAGAGATTCGCAGTGACATCAATTAGTATAACCGATCTCAAGAGATTCGCAGTGACAGCAATAACCGTCTCAAGAGATTCGCAGTGACATCAATACCGTCTCAAGAGATTCGCAGTGACATCAATAACCGTCTCAAGAGATTCGCAGTGACATCAATAACCGTCTCAAGAGATTCGCAGTGACATCAATAACCGTCTCAAGAGATTCGCAGTGACATCAATAACCGTCTCAAGAGATTCGCAGTGACATCAATAACCGTCTCAAGAGATTCGCATTGACATCAATAACCGTCTCAAGAGATTCGCAGTGACATCAATAACCGTCTCAAGAGATTCGCAGTGACATCAATAACCGTCTCAAGAGATTCGCAGTGACATCAGTAACCGTCTCAAGAGATTCGCAAGTGACATCAATAACCGTCTCAAGAGATTCGCAGTGACATCAATAACCGTCTCAAGAGATTCGCAGTGACATCAATAACCGTCTCAAGAGATTCGCAGTGACATCAATAACCGTCTCAAGAGATTCGAAGTGACATCAATAACCGTCTCAAGAGATTCGCAGTGACATCAATAACCGTCTCAAGAGATTCGCAGTGACATCAATAACCGTCTCAAGAGATTCGCAGTGACATCAATAACCGTCTCAAGAGATTCGCAGTGACATCAATAGCCGTCTCAAGAGATTCGCGTCTCAAGAGATTCGCAGGTGACATCAATAACCGTCTCAAGAGATTCGCAGTGACATCAATAACCGTCTCAAGAGATTCGCAGTGACATCAATAACCGTCTCAAGAGATTCGCAGTGACATCAATAACCGTCTCAAGAGATTCGCAGTGACATCAATAACCGTCTCAAGAGATTCGCAGTGACATCAATAACCGTCTCAAGAGATTCGCAAGTGACATCAATAACCGTCTCAAGAGATTCGCAGTGACATCAATAACCGTCTCAAGAGATTCGCAGTGACATCAATAACCGTCTCAAGAGATTCGCAGTGACATCAATAACCGTCTCAAGAGATTCGCAGTGACATCAATAACCGTCTCAAGAGATTCGCAGTGACATCAATAACCGTCTCAAGAGATTCGCAGTGACATCAATAACCGTCTCAAGAGATTCGCAGTGACATCAATAACCGTCTCAAGAGATTCGCAGTGACATCAATAACCGTCTCAAGAGATTCGCAGTGACATCAATAACCGTCTCAAGAGATTCCGCAAGTGACATCAATAACCGTCTCAAGAGATTCGCAGTGACAGCAATAACCGTCTCAAGAGATTCGCAGTGACATCAATAACCGTCTCAAGAGATTCGCAGTGACATCAATAACCGTCTCAAGAGATTCGCAGTGACATCAATAACCGTCTCAAGAGATTCGCAGTGACATCAATAACCGTCTCAAGAGATTCGCAGTGACATCAATAACCGTCTCAAGAGATTCGCAAGTGACATCAATAACCAGTCTCAAGAGATTCGCAAGTGACATCAATAACCGTCTCAAGAGATTCGCAGTGACATCAATAACCGTCTCAAGAGATTCGCAGTGACATCAATAACCGTCTCAAGAGATTCGCAGAGTGACATCAAGTAACCGTCTCAAGAGATTCGCAGTGACATCAATAACCGTCTCAAGAGATTCGCAGTGACATCAATAACCGTCTCAAGAGATTCGCAGTGACATCAATAACCGTCTCAAGAGATTCGCAGTGACATCAATAACCGTCTCAAGAGATTCGCAGTGACATCAATAACCGTCTCAAGAGATTCGCAGTGACATCAATAACCGTCTCAAGAGATTCGCAGTGACATCAATAACCGTCTCAAGAGATTCGCAGTGACATCAATAACCGTCTCAAGAGATTCGCAAGTGACATCAATAACCGTCTCAAGAGATTCGCAGTGACATCAATAACCGTCTCAAGAGATTCGCAGTGACATCAATAACCGTCTCAAGAGATTCGCAGTGACATCAATAACCGTCTCAAGAGATTCGCAGTGACATCAATAACCGTCTCAAGAGATTCGCAGTGAACATCAATAACCGTCTCAAGAGATTCGCAGTGACATCAATAACCGTCTCAAGAGATTCGCAGTGACATCATAACCGTCTCAAGAGATTCGCAGTGACATCAATAACCGTCTCAAGAGATTCGCAGTGACATCAATAACCGTCTCAAGAGATTCGCAGTGACATCAATAACCGTCTCAAGAGATTCGCAGTGACATCAATAACCGTCTCAAGAGATTCGCAGTGACATCAATAACCGTCTCAAGAGATTCGCAGTGACATCAATAACCGTCTCAAGAGATTCGCAGTGACATCAATAACCGTCTCAAGAGATTCGCAGTGACATCAATAACCGTCTCAAGAGATTCGCAGTGACATCAATAACCGTCTCAAGAGATTCGCAGTGACATCAATAACCGTCTCAAGAGATTCGCAGTGACATCAATAACCGTCTCAAGAGATTCGCAGTGACATCAATAACCGTCTCAAGAGATTCGCAGTGACATCAATAACCGTCTCAAGAGATTCGCAGTGACATCAATAACCGTCTCAAGAGATTCGCATTGACATCAATAACCGTCTCAAGAGATTCGCAGTGACATCAATAACCGTCTCAAGAGATTCGCAGTGACATCAATAACCGTCTCAAGAGATTCGCAGTGACATCAATACCGTCTCAAGAGATTTCGCAGTGACATCAATAACCGTCTCAAGAGATTCGCAGTGACATCAATAACCGTCTCAAGAGATTCGCAGTGACATCAATAACCGTCTCAAGAGATTCGCAGTGACATCAATAACCGTCTCAAGAGATTCGCAGTGACATCAATAACCGTCTCAAGAGATTCGCAGTGACATCAATAACCGTCTCAAGAGATTCGCAGTGACATCAATAACGTCTCAAGAGATTCGCAGTGACATCAATAACCGTCTCAAGAGATTCGCAGTGACATCAATAACCGTCTCAAGAGATTCGCAGTGACATCAATAACCGTCTCAAGAGATTCGCAGTGACATCAATAACCGTCTCAAGAGATTCGCAGTGACATCAATAACCGTCTCAAGAGATTCGCAGTGACATCAATAACCGTCTCAAGAGATTCGCAGTGACATCAATAACCGTCTCAAGAGATTCGCAGTGACATCAATAACCGTCTCAAGAGATTCGCAGTGACATCAATAACCGTCTCAAGAGATCGCAGTGACATCAATAACCGTCTCAAGAGATTCGCAGTGACATCAAGTAACCGTCTCAAGAGATTCGCAGTGACATCAATAACCGTCTCAAGAGATTCGCAAGTGACATCAATAACCGTCTCAAGAGATTCGCAGTGACATCAATAACCGTCTCAAGAGATTCGCAGTGACATCAATAACCGTCTCAAGAGATTCGCAGTGACATCAATAACCGTCTCAAGAGATTCGCAGTGACATCAATAACCGTCTCAAGAGATTCGCAGTGACATCAATAACCGTCTCAAGAGATTCGCAGTGACATCAATAACCGTCTCAAGAGATTCGCAGTGACATCAATAACCGTCTCAAGAGATTCGCAGTGACATCAATAACCGTCTCAAGAGATTCGCAGTGACATCAATAACCGTCTCAAGAGATTCGCAGTGACATCAATAACCGT